CAAAGCTCTCAGAGCCCTATAAGATCACGTGCTTTTCGCATCAATCAATCACCGGCGGAAGGCGCATCAATGCCGACGACGACCTGCCCCCTTTGTCGGTGCCATTTCTACTCAACCAGAGAAAGAAATTAGCTGGCTGGTTCTGGGCATTCAGAAAACAGCTCATCTCTGCGGTTATGTGGCCATAAATCTGATGTTCGAAAAAATGCCATTGTTTCTCAAAGGCCTTTGAGATGCCCTATGAGAAAAGCCCCTTGCCCTTTGAAAGGCCTTTGAGCCTCTGGGACCCCGATTCAAAGCCCTCTGGGCGAACACTGGGAAAATGAAACATGACGGGGGGACTCAGTCGAAATTGTCGCTCTCGAGCAATTGGGTCGATAACTGGCCGAGGGCATCATTGCTTGCTTGAATGCCGGCAGCGACCTTGCTCAGATGAGTTGAAGCAACTGCAAGAGCGTCGCAGCTTGTTGATGGAAATAGGGGAGACGCAGACCAGATCATGATGGACATCATGTTTTGATCGGTCGCTTCACTGCTTGACTCCTACCACAATGTTCTTCGGACTCTTCAAGCCACGTGTTCGCAAAGTCTACCTGCCCATCCTTGAATGGCTTCCAGACGAAGTTCTCATTGAAATCGTCCGGTCTGCACCCAAAGGCAACCAGGCGGCCCTCTGTCGTACATCCAAACCGTTCTACGCGCTATCCCTGCCCATCCTCTACCAGAACGTCGTTCTCTACCTGGGGGAAAAGACAGATATCATCGATACTTTCTGTTTGACGGTGGTCGGGCATCCGGAGAGAGCAGATGTCATCAGGTCTCTGAGGTTCAAGAACGTTGGGTATGCATTTCCCCTGTCTCTAAAAGTCGACTCATCGCCACCTACAGATACATCCGGTACACATGGTGCCTCAAGTCGCTCAACTACGACTTATTCTTCGAATCGTTGAAGAGGATGAACAACCTGGAGCATCTATCTTTCGACGACGACACCACATCCCCAGAGGATTTTTCCTCTCGGTTGGCATCCATGACCTTCCCCCGCCTCCGGCACTTGGCTATATACCATCCTACTAGCGACTCTGGCAGAGCGCAAGTCGCTCGAATTTTCTCTTTACACCGGGATCTCACCCATGTTGCTCTTTGGTCCCTGTGCCCCGATTCCGATGAACCCGAGTATATCAAGTGGGATAACACTGTTGTTCTCCAAAATCTGCGGCATTACGAAGGACACAGCACAGCCCTTCTTGACGCGTGCTGTACTACACGAACTTTGCGAGCGGCCCGAATTCGAGCCATTTCCTGGCCCACTCCACGATCCATATTCGCGACCCTCCAGTCGCGCACGAGCCGTGACCAGAACCTGCCATTCACTCTGTCCATCGATTATATGTTGAAGAACGATGAACTGCAGAGTATGCTCGTATCTCTGTCGGGTGATATGCCTCAGATCCGATGTCTGCAGATGCGAAGTTATGAAGATAAAATGCACATCGTAGGCCCCCAGGTTTTCTCTGCTTTTATCCGTGCCAACCCATTTATGCAGACAACCGTACAAACCTTCGCAGAGAACCTCCGCCGTTTCGGCCGCATCCAATATTTCGCACTCAATTATAGGGCACACTATGAATATGAACTTGGTTCGGTGTGGAACGCCAAACGCTGTCACAAAGCTGTGAAAATGTTTGCTGAGGCTTGTCCGACTCTACGGGCATGTTGTATTGGTACGTTTTTTGAATTTCCTGAACCCCAATAAATAGATCGAAATGAATCTGACGCTGCTTCAACAGGCAGTCGAGCATGGAAGAAGGTGATCATGGATGCACCGTGGGTGGAGTACACCAGAGATGCATTCGAAGTAGACGCTGGATTGTCGGAATTTGAAGATCGTTGAGTGGTCCTTGCCGCTCATCTTTTTTCGAATACTTGAATAGCACCTTATCATCGCGCGCTTCACTACAAGGTACATACGGGAGACGTACCCGTCAGATTCTATCTCTCAGTCGAGCAACTAATTGCTTGCTCGATGTCAGTGTCAGCGGGCCCGAGGACGTCATGTACAATTTACTTCCAGAATCAACAGTGGAGCCATCCGAATTAGAAAATCCCGGATTTCCTTCCTCACACGCGGGTGGAGAGCGCGACGTGTGCGGGTGGAGCTGTCCTCCTCCGGGTACACTCGAGTGTTTGATGCGCACGCCGGCGCGATATCCCGGTTCTCATCTCTCATCATTGCCAGTCACTCCAAGGAACGAACGGCTCGCAGATCAGCGTCCGTCGGGTCGGAGAAAACTGAGTAAATACGACGAAATGCGTTGTCGGCTCTGAACACCACTTAGGAGGCTGAGAGAGCCAGGGTGAGACATTCTCTTGGGATGATCTGCGCCGCGGCGTGAAATGTGAAATGAGTGGGTCCCGGTTTCGCAGCAGTACAGCTATGAGTCCTTGATATGTCTCAGTGAGAGTCTCAGTCTCAGAATCAATGTCATCATTATTGTGGGTCTTTATCATATAGATTCCAATGATGAATTGTACAGCTGCGGGTGCGGATGGATGGAGCGTCCTCCTAAGTCCTACCATTGATTCAAGCGGAAATACGAATACGAATAAGGATTTACAGCTTTCTATGTTTGCATTCCCGCAGCAAATCCGATCCAGGGCGCGACAGGGCGCGCCGACGGGCAGGGCAGTGCCAGCAGACAACCGGCATTAATGGACACCCTGGGCTTCGGGCCCTGAGCGTGCGCAACGTCGGGACTGCGGCTCGGCTCGACCTTGATTCAGCCTCGGACTCCACAGCCTAGACATCCGTAGGCCCGCTGTCCTAATCTCAGGTCATTCATCCACCCACAGCCTCGGAGGCCAAGTCAATCCCACACTCGCCTCCGCAGTAGAAGCCCGACTCCGAACCCGATCGTCGACGTGCATCGCACTGCGGGGTTTATACTCTACCCACCGAAAGTCCGAATCCGAATGCCCGACAGACAGACAGCAACAGGTTGCCGGCAGGGCGGGAGGATCGGGAATCGGGCGGTATGACGTCGATCGATCAAATGAAGATAAGATAATGGAAGTAGATTAGATGCCGGGAAAGGGAGACGAAAATGGAAACAAGGAAACGCACCGATCGCGAATAAGATTCCACACTTGATTCTCGGGTGGGAGTGTGCATACTTAGCGGGGATGAAGATTAGATCCCAGTGGAGCATAAGCACAAGAATGAATCGAATACGAATACTCAGGACAAAGGCGAGGCCAATTGTGAACAACGGCGCCCGCCCGCAGTTGTCAAGGGGCAGCTGTTGTTCAGCTGGTGTTCGGGCGGCCCAGCAATGGAAAGAAGCTTGGAATACAAGAAATGACAACGGCTCAGATGAGAATGTACGCCATCTGGTCACCGAGACAGCGAGCGGCGAGCGCTCGAGATGGAGATGTACTCTGATAAGATTGACACGGAGGGCGGGGAAATGGAGCACATAAATGCGAGAATAATGCTCTCCCAATCGAGAACAAGGTGTCATTTAGCACTCTCCACCCGTTTTTATTGTTCTGATCCACGAGGACGCCGAGTCGCCGTAAGCGCATATGTCTTGGAACTTTATCCTGTGAAATGAAATAAGATGAAAGCCACGAGTGCCAAAGCAGAACAACAACAAAAAAACAAGAGCTCAAGCCTTGTGCGCACACAATAGCCGACACAATACCACGCCGCCTTCGAGGCTGCCTGACGACCCCGACACGTCTGCCGATTCGATAGTCCAGTAACTCAGTGTTGGCAATGACGGGTCGTTGACGGGTCAGTGATGTTTGATTGACCGTCATTGACCTTTGATCGACTCTTGATGGATGGGTCACTGACTCTTGTCACGGGTCCTCGGAGAAGGTCGGAGTCTCGGAGACTTCGGACAAAAAAGCTGCGACGGGTCACATTGTGTGACTGCCCTCTCCATCACTGATCGACCCGTTGCGGAAGAGTCAATGACGGCGTCATTACCCTGCTTGCGCAGAAGCCATACGAGCCATTGGATGGCTTTTTTGACGTGCGCGTCATATGGCTAATTTAGGTACAAAAGCCATTCAATGGCTCCAACGAGCCAATTTTGGCAGAGTGGAGCCATATGACGCGCACGGCCAAAAAGCCATCACGTGGCTCCTATGGCTTCTGCGCAAGCTCTCTATTGACCCCTTGACCGTCGGAGAGTCATTGACGGCCCGTCACAAATGTTATGACTTCGACAACACTGGTCCAGTTGTCTGTTGTATTCCGCATCCAGGCAGTTCGGTGGCTTTTCATTTTTCTTCAAACTTGCCGAGACTGGCGCCCGACGCATTGGAACACCATGTCGTACAAGGCATTGAGCGTGACAGGACAATGTCATTCTTTTGTGAACGACCAAAAGAAAAAGAAACAAGGTTTTCTTCCTGCACAACCCATGCTTTGCGAGGGAATCAAACCCCGGCTGCGTGCGGGTAGGAGACGAGGACCAGAGTGTAGCAAACCCGGGTGGATCTAGGGTGCTTAGCTCCCGTTGTGAGACGTAAAAAAAAATCACAATGAATGATGATGGTTTGCCTGGGAATCGAACCCGGTCCAGGACGTCCGGACAGGGCAAAGAGTCAGGTCAACGGTATGTAGGTTCTTGTTGTCCCTGGCTGAGGCCTCAGTCCTCGTCTTGCTTTGCGACGAGTATATACGTAGGACAAGGCATGTGTCAACTGTGAATGCCCATTTTGTAAGTACATGAAAAGAACCCACAGGAATTGTAAACACACACCGTCGTTGTTGAATGTTCAAACAGTGGGAGATGTAGCAATGCACTGCTTCCTCTTGACCCTTTCGATTCTTGCTGTCTCGCCACCACTCAGTCCGAGTCCTTGTGGCGGCGGCTCATAACTGCGGTGGGAAGCCGAAGCGAGTTAGTATAAGATACTACAAGTAAAACATACGACAACACGGATAGGGAAATCCAGCTTGAACAAAAGGAACTCGGAGACGTCAGTGCTTTGGGAGGGAATCGAACCTTCGGCGGGTCGAAAGACACGCATCGGCATGGCCATGGCCATGGCAACGACCCAGGTTACCACTACCCCACCAAAGCAATGGCACCGATGCGATTTCCTAACACCGTGGCTTCAGGGACTCGATGGCAATTTCATGAATGGCCATGGACAACAAGGATCGGTGAGAAGGTGAACAGCCTGGGGCCTGCGGAATAGCATCTCGATCCGACCACCACCACCCGACGGACAAGCAAAAATTCGAGGCCTGGGCGATGACAGGTGAGATCTTACATTGAAATTCTGCGCCGTAATTTTGCCGGGTATGCTGGCTGCAAGAAAAGATGTAGTTAACGTTGGCAGTAGCCACACCAGGGTTTCAACTCACCGGCACTTGACACGCGGCTCTCCCAATTCCGATCGCGATTGTCGATGTTTCCCCCCCAAAACCTGCGGCAAAGACAACCAATAGGGATTCAAATTGCGCAGTACTTGGATGAATGAATGAGTACCACGGGCTGGAGCGCCACAGATTGCGCGATCCGTTCAATCTAGTTGCGTTGCGTGGAGAGGGACATTGCCGATCCTAATTTAGCGCCCGGTTTGCCCGTTCGATGAATACAGTTGGTTGTCTTCATTCAGGCTATCGCTCGACGGGGAGCGCGTTTAGCCAGTAGGGGGAATTGAATCCCAGACCAGACATTTCCGAGGGGTCTGGCCTCGGAAGGGCGGCGATCGGCGGTTAGCTCGGGATTGAGTGAGACTAGCATGCGAAGACATTGCGGCGATTGAGTGCTCGGCGTGGATAGGATAGGATACGTAGCATGTTACAAAGATGGAGACCGAGTACGACACCGGAGAACAAGCCGAAGAACTCGATTCGCTAATGAAAGTGGCGCAGATGGATCTTTCCAGAGTACAACGATGAGTCCCGGCTTGGCCATGAGGCAGTTCGACTTCTGGCAGGACACAAGGATTGAAGGCTTGAAAATGCGGCGGCTGGACACCCCGAATTGAAGAAGTTCCGAGTACTGGGCCCACCAGATTAGATACTCCAGAGCAGGTACGGGACATCAGAAGCCGGCAGGAATCCGCCAACGGCGGAACAGTAACTAATTGAAAAATCGAGCGGCCGACTGATGTGGCAGAAGACAAGCCGGTTTTGTTTGTTCATGTATCAAACTGCGCTTGATCTCTGCCACTATCATGACCAACTCGGCACTCGACATGTTCCTCGAAAATCCTGGTCCCTGAGGCTGGAGAACGAATTGTCGTTAACTCCGCAATCAACTCCGAGTCTGCGCTATCAAGATTTACCCAGATAGACGCTGTGGTTCGTGGATTCTATGCCACGAATCCGAGTCCTTTCCGTTGCCTTTCCGACGTCGCTTGCAATGTTTCAAACCGCCTCAGGCTGTCCACCAGAGCGAAACTGTATTAAAATTGTATTGAAACCTCTACTTGCGTCTGGATTACCACTGCGGGTGAAGATCAATCAAACCTGCTCAGCCCCGTGCAAATCCCCCCTCGCTTGAATTCCCCACCTGGAAACGAAGGGTGAAACGGTGTTTTACTTGAGACTCCAGGATCTTCTGGTCTGCAAAGATAGTACACAAACTGCCGCCTGGGCTCGACTCTCACGCGCCGTCACAACAGCGTCGACGATGTCTTGAATGTCAAAGTTGTGGCGACGGCATGCATATGAATGCAGGGACTATGGTATGTGCATCCGTGATGCTTGATGCGTGCGTATACATAGCTCACAAGACAAGTGTGAGGTCTCTACACATCGGGCGTCCTGTGCGTCCCGTCGACGATGCATATATTCTATTCCTACCCCGACTGATACACTGGCAACGGGCGGCGCCGCGGCGTTCGGGCCCGACTGGCGACTGCGTTTTGGGTCCAAGCGTTTTGTTAGCTTGCCGCGAAACAGCGATACGCGAATATTTGCATCTCCGTCGGTTGCCCGAAGGCCGACTCGGGCTTCATCATACCATCCCGACAATTCAGTCAACTCGTCGCTGATCCGTACGCGCGCGGGTCGACTACACGACGCCCATGACCATGTGTTGGTAACGTGTCGTCTGGAGGACCCACCTTCCCTGGCCCTCGTCAACGCGGATCAAAGATTGTCAGGATGAACGTTGAACGTTGAATAGTGTACGGATCGTCTGGGTCGATATCGCGTGGTTGTGGATCCCACCCGGTCTCAGATCTAGCAGCTATTGAACCAGAGGCGGGGCGTCCAATCACCCCGCCATATTCATCCGAAAAAAAGGTCTGCATATCGATAACTAATGTATCTCAACAAGATCGTTTGTCGACTTGACCAAGAAATCAATCTCTCTGATAAGATCTGCCGCCTGCGTGAATCCTCGACGCGAAAGCCTCAACAGCCCCTCAAAACGCTTGTCCCCGTCAGTTCTCAACGGCACAACCCACGTTCTCATCTTCGAACCCTCCGAAATGCGTATACCATGCAATTCATAGCGCCCCTTTCCCAACTTTGCCCGTTTCACAAGATCCTGCCACTCGTCGCTCTCCGTATCCAAGAGCTCGTGCAACGGCTCATGAGGTTCTTCATCGTCCGACTCGTCGTCCGACCACACTCGATCGGAAGCCTGTGAATTGTCCAGGTGGACGGGGTACACCTTGGTGACGGGGGCAGGCTTGGAGTAGTCAAAGAGCGTGAACAGAACGTCTGGGCGGTGCCCTGCGCCATCGTATTGAGTGAGAATCGAGATTTTTTGTGCGCAGATGAAATGGCGTTCTTTGAGATATCTCCGGTGGGTCAGGGCGCGGATGAATGAACGCTCCTTGAAAGTGAGCTCTGCCCGTTTGGCTAGAGAGGAATACCTCAGCAGACTTTCAGGAGAATCGCGTGCGACTTACAAAGAAGTAGGTTGTCGCGAGTGTGACAAGCGTTCTGATGGCCAAGTTCCCAGTCGCGCCGCTGGCACTGGACGGAGCAGTAATAGAAAACCAGGCAGCCTGAGCATCGCTTGAGGCAGGATGATTCTTGTATCAAGCCGCACTGTTGTAGAGCTCAGTGAAACAGCGCATCAAAGACGAGTTCACGACATACCTCTTGGTTATCGCACGCCTTCTGCGCCACGAATGTCAAAGCTTCACAGCGCTCCTCCGTTATAGTGAGGAAAGTCTGCCAGGTTTCATACAACTTGGGCGCCCTTTTCTTGAATTTATCCCCCAACAACAGATCCTGGACTTCCTCCAGAGCATCCCTATACGCCGCAACAGCGTCGAAAGACACCAGAGCGGGAGATAGAACCAGAACCAGGAAATATAGGACTTGGTGCTCAAGTGGCCCTCCACGAGTATCGCTTCGGAGGGCAATTAAGAAGAACGCTCGTAACAGCCCGCGTTTGAACAGCTTGCTGAGCCACAACTTCGCCGGAGATGCAATAATCATACGCCGTACGAGCATTAGACACCGATCGATCGCCACCGTCGCTCTTTCCTCGTGGTTATCGCAGAGAAAGAGCACAGCGGCGACAAGCTCTTCGGCGCAGTTACTGTGGGTGTATAGCGCGACGCCTAACCGGCCGAGGGGCACTGACATTGGGTCACCGGAGCAATCTTGGGGGAATTGGTCGGCGTCGTCAATGAAGCCCGTGATATGTGCAATGTTGTCGAGAAGACCCCAAGCGTCCGACGTGTGGTGCTTTACCACGGTACGGATGAAATCCTCGACAAGCCCGGCAAATCGGCTGATTGACCCTGCAGCGTCAATCATCTCTTCCAGACGCTCTGGGTGGGATCGCACGCCGGATTCAGCAAGAAACCCACCGAGATGAGCGAGCATGTGGTCTGGGGTGTCGAATTGAGTCAGGAATGTCCAGAACTTGACAACACAGGCCCAGAAGCCCGGTGCCGCAGATATGAGCTCGTACGTCGCTGGGTGATCAAAGTAGCTGCCAAGAAAGAGGGAAAACGAGGCGTAGAAGTCCTGCTCTGGTAGGAATTCAATTCGATCTTCCAGCTGCTGGCGGTGTGTGTGTATAAAATCTACCCACGGCCAGACACGTGGCCACAAGGACAACCCAATGTCTCCTTGCTTTCGAAGCTGAAACATCGCGTTCAAGGCTACATCCGCACAGGAAACGTCTTCTTTAGCCTTCGCAGAAAGCTCTTCGAGGCGGGGGATACGAGCTGGATCGAGAACGGGGAAGAAGACAGCCAGAAAGGCCATCTGCTGGGAGCGAGCGAGGGTGGGTGTCTCCATGAGGTCTCGTGCATGGATGACCTGAGCCAAAGTGCGAGTCTCCGCCGCTGCCAGGGACGCGACGCGCTTTTCACCCAATCAGACAGTGACTCAAGAAAAGAGGATAATCTGCACCCGAATGGAGACTGGAAGGCGGTCCAGGTTGCGTAGATGGAGATCGTGGTGCATGACCGCAGTCATGCTGAAGATGGGAAACAACCTGAGGCCCGAAGATGCAGGCGGGAGGAAAGCACAGGTGGTGACTGTGCTTTTGATGTGATTACCCAAGCCAGTGCCAGATCACCGAATCAGAATCTCAGATCATCGATCAGTCCTCAGGCTTGACTCCTTACCCCCATGTTCTTCGGACTCCTCACGCCACGCACTCCCGAGATCTGCCTTCCCATTGACGAATGTGCTCTAAACCCAAGGGAGAAACCCAACACCACTGTATCGTATACGGTGGTACACAGGAATAAGCAAGTAGCTTATTTAGATAACCAACACAGACACGAGCTCGTAGCGAATGTATTCAATCGAGTGTTCAGACGAGTAAAAGTCCCAATACAGGTCCTTATACAGGTAGTAGGTTGTGGAGGGAGAAAGTAATAAGTTTATTCCGAAGGAAAGTGGTATTTCCAAGGGACGGGTATTAGGTTCAGTCGAGACTGGAACAAGCAACCCTTTTGGTAGATTGTATAGCTTCTCAGCTGTAGTTGATAAGATTGATGTAGTAGGTGGGTTGGTGGTCAAACACCGATCGTATTCCTTATTCCGAAACTTCGCAACTCTGTAAGGGCAACTCTGCACACTGAGGATACGCGCTCAGCCTGGATAGAGGGGATCCGAAGTGTGAATAAAAGAAATACAAATACA